TTATAAAAGTGGCTACCCTGATCATTGATGATAGCCCTGGGCACTCCAAACCTGCAAAAAATGTGTGATCTAACAAAATCTACAACAACATGAGAATCATCAGTTCGAGTGGCCTTAGCCTCCACCCACTTGGAGACATAATCAACAGCTAATAAAATGTAAATAAAACCAAAAGAAACAGGAAATGGACCCATAAAGTCAATGCCCCAAACATCAAATATCTCACAAAACAATAAGGGTTGTTGACGCATCTCATTCCTACGGGAAATACTACCTGTTTTCTGACATTGTGCATAACTTTTACAAAATGTGTAAGCATCACGAAACAATGTGGGCCAGTAAAAACCAGAATCTAAGACCTTCCTAGTAGTGCATTGTGTAACGCCTTATATTTCTTTTCTCAATATATAATAAATTTTCATAAAAAGTTAAATAGTAGAGTAAATTTTTCTTTCAGAAACTCTCTAAATAGAAACAGACATGGAAATGACATAAGGTTCATAGAGTAAAATTTCATTAATTCATAAGTACTTTAGAAAAACAAAGATTCCCGAATTTTCATCAGCAATAAAAAGAAATAGTAGTTTTACAACTGTTTCAAAAGAACGCTATAGAACTGAAAATATTCATTACATAACTCAAAATAACTAAGTCCTATAGCAGTTCTCATCCATCCATGCACTGTGAGCCTGGTACTATTCGTCCTGGTTTCCTAAAAAATGTTGTGTAAGGGTGAGTCTCTACCCTACCACTCATACATAACACATATTCATCACACACATCTTATCACGATTAAAGAAAACATCATGGCATTACATATCACAGTGTCATATATAGCATATTCTCATCTCAACACAGATTATATTCCATAGATTCACAATTTCTTTTACTTTCATCCGCGCTTACCGCGCCCTGTGGTCACAGTTATCTGATGCCTCTATCTCGAGGTCTTACACATTCATGTAAATAGTCGCCGGATGGCCCAATGCAATACGGATACAACGCATGCAATAGATAGCCCCTTAGCAAAGGTAATGGTCAGGAGTCAAGTCGAGAAATGAGTGTGTGGCCACGTGGTGCATTCGAACACAATATTCCGTGCACAATCCCGAATGTCACTCACCACCCTGCATTTCCCCAAGATATCCCATATCGTCTCCATCTTCCACTTCCCCAGTGTATCTCTGTAACTATTTACATCATATCTTTTTCCATCTCATACTCTTTTGAGCATATTCACATGTTCACATATGCCATTTATCATGTTTACACATATTTTTCATTATATTTCCACATACTTTTCATCATATACATCAAACCATGGCACATTCACAATACACATCATTTTTACATAAAACACAATATATTCAAACATGAAACATCCATCTCTTCGTATATTTCATATCACAAAATCATAAAATCATATCAACCATCCTCAATATACCTTATCATGCCCTATTTGAACATAATATCCCAATTTCACCATGTACTCATCATAAAATCACATAAACAACTAATTATTCTCACTTTTCACTGATTATTTCTCATAAAACAGGGATTATTTCACATATAATTACATACATGACAAGATCTATGAGAATACAAGTAATAAACATAACGAAATGATAAAGTAGAGCCCCCCTTACCTCAAAACAGAGCTTTTACAAGGATTTAACCGAAGGTTTAACTCTAGAACGGAGGTTTTCCTAAGAACATCATGAACATCTATAAGAAGAAGAAGAAGAGAAACGAACGGTAAATCTAACTTCAAACTTAGAAAAACTTACTTGTAATCCTTTAGATCGAACGTAGAATCACAGATCTGAAGAAAAATCTAAGTTTAGGAGGTTTAGTATGGGAGAAAATGGCGAGATATGACTTTAGAACCTTTGAGAACCTTGGATAGGAGTGAAGAAATAAAAATTTCGTCTGCAACCCCCTTTTTATAGAAAATTTTTGAAGTTACTGTTCACCGCCGGAATTTACTGTTCATCACCGGAAACACTGTTCGATGCCTTACTGTTCACGCCGGAAACACTGTTCGCGGTAACTGTTCACGCCGGAAACACTGTGCACACGTACTGTACATGGATTTGTACGCGTACTGTACGCGGATGTGACGTCAGCCATGACGTCATGCTGATGTCATTGATGACGTCATCGTCACTGTACAAAGGTGGTTTCACTGTTCATACGCGGTTTACTGTTCATCGACACTGTTCATAGGCGATTTTACTGTTCATTTTTTTTTTTTTTAAATAAATTCTATCCAAATCTATTCCAATTATACTTTAACAAACCTCATTTTATTTAAATCAAAATATAGGATGTTACACATTGTGGCCCAAAGTGACCCCCACATGCAAGAATATGACAAAACTGCAAAATAGATGGTATCTCTAGCTTATGCACACAACGCCTAATGACATGGTCACTACACATGCGCCATAAATAAGGATCATCCCAAACATAATACTTAGCCTCACTCTTAAGTTTCTCTATTTGGTGCTTTTTAAAATAAGCAGGCAACTCAGAAGCAACCAAATAATTTACTAAGTCAGCATACCATGGATCCTTACCTTGCAGCTCTAATAGCTGCTTATCTAGAAAAGTCTCATGGATGGGGAGAGGCTCTAAAGTTTGTGGGATCTGACTTAGGTGGTCTGCTACCAAGTTTTCGGCTCCACTCTTATCTTTGATCTCAATATCAATTCTTGCAAAAGCAACATCCATTTGATGAGTCTGGGCTTTGCATCTGGTTTCTTTAATAGGAACTTTAGTGCAGCATGATCAGAAAAGATTGTCACTTTAGTTCCTAAGAGATAAGCACAAAATTTATCTAAAGCAAAAATGATAGCCAGAAGCTCCTTCTCAGTGGTGGTGTAATTTGCCTGTGCAGAGTCTAAGGTTCGGGAAGCATATGCTATGATGTGAGGAATCTTCCCAACCCTCTGTGAAAGAACAGTGCCTACTGCAAGGTTTGATGCATCACACATAAGCTCGAACGGGTACTCCCAGTTAGGCGGCTGAAGCATAGGAGCAGAAACCAGATGCTGCTTCAAGTTGTCAAAAGCTCTCCTACAATTATCGTCAAACTAGAAGTCTGTTTCTTTCTGTAGCAGCTTGGATAGCGGAAGAGCAATCTTACTGAAGTCTTGGATGAATCTCCTATAAAAACCTGTATGTCCAAGAAAAGAACGCACTTCCCGCACACATGTGGGGTAAGGTAAAGAGGCAATAATATCAATCTTAGCCGTATCAACAACAATGCCCTCACTAGAAATGACATGTCCCAAGACTACACCCTGCCCAACCATAAAATGACATTTTTTAAAATTCAAGACAAGATGAGACTGAATGCATCTATGCAATACCCTATCAAGGTTGTCTAAACATGCATCAAATGATTGACCATATACAGTGAAATCATCCATAAAGACTTCCATATAGTTCTCAAGAAAATCAGAAAAAATACTCACCATACATCTCTGAAATGTACCTGGGGCGTTGCATAAACCAAAGGGCATCCTCCGGTATGCAAAAGTGCCGAATGGACAAGTAAAAGTGCTCTTTTCTTGATCCTCTGGTGCAATATGAATCTGGAAATAGCCAGAAAACCCATCAAGGAAGCAATCGTGTGATTGATCTGCCAACCTTTCAAGCATTTGGTTAATGAAGGGCAAAGGAAAGTGATCCTTCTTGGTGGCCTGGTTCAGCTTCCTATAATCTATGCAAACTCTCCAGCTGTTTTGCACTCTTGTAGGCACCAACTCATCCTTGGAATTCTTTATCACTGTAGTGCCAGTTTTCTTAAGAACCACTTGCACTGGGCTCACCCACTTGCTGTCTAAAATTGGATAAATTATGCCAGCAACTAGCAGCTTGCTAACTTCCTTTTTTACGACATCTAGAATGAGCGGGTTGAGCCTTCTCTGGGGCTGCCTCACTGGTTTGGCTCCTTCTTCTAACTGAATTTTATGCATGCATATGTAAGGATTAATTCCAGGAATGTCAGCAAGTGTCCAGCTTATAGCCTTTACATTATGTTTCAGGATGTTAAGCAACTTATGTTCCTGTTCTGGTCACAGATCCTTGGCTATTATGACTGGTAGCTTCTCATTGGGTGCCAAAAATGCATACTTTAGATTTTCTGGAAGTGGCTTGAGCTCCACTATTGGTGGCTCTTGTATGGACGACACTGATCTTATTTGTTCTGCTGGTGTAACTTCAGCACCTGCAACATGTGAGAAATCTTGCACAAGAGCATTATCATATCCCACAACAGGAAGATCAGCATGTAACTCATCAGAAAAAATCTGTTCAGAATCTAAACCATGCAGGCATGTATTAATTTCGGCCACAAACAACACATAAATCATGAATTCTATCACAACCTGAACATTGAAATTCATCTCTCATTACAACAATTTCAAGAAACTCAGCACACAAATTCGCATGCACATCATCAACCAATGAATCAATGATATCTAAATGAAATACAAAATGCTCTTCTGGTGGATATCTCATGGCATCATACAATTTAAAATGCACCTTACTGTCTCCAAATTCCATGGACAATGTGCCAGAATGCACATCAATCTTAGTTTTAGCAGTTTTTAAAAATGCTCTACCTAAGATTATTGTAGGTTGATATGCATTTGAATCATCCTCCGTGTCCAACATATAAAAATCAGCAGGGAAAATAAGCTCATTTACTCTTACCAACACATCTTCTAAAACTCCCTCAGGATGAGTTGTGCTTCGGTTGGCAAGTTGAATCACCACTCTTGTTGGTTTGAGCTCTCCAATGTGTAGTGACTGATATAATGATTTTGGTATGACATTGATTGAGGCTCCAAGGTCCAACAGGGCTTGACTGAATTGTTGGTTCCCTATGGTGCAAGGGATTGTGAAAGTGCCAGGATCCTTGCACTTTGGAGGAATGCTTGGCTGAATGATGGCAGACACATTTCTACCCATGCTCACCTTCTCATCTCCCTTCAGCCTTCTTCTTTGGCGTATTTTGCGATCTGCTTGACCACTTCTAGGAGTGGGATATTAATTTCTACCTTCCTAAAAGTCTCCATGATCTCCTTGTTCAATTCTGCCTCTGCCAGCGTCTTATTCTGTGTCACTCTATTTGGAAAAGGCACTGGAATACTTGGTTCTGCTTCCCTGCTGCTGCTCTTTTTGGCTAGTTCTGCAGAATCTGATTCGTTAGCAGCATCATTTTTATCTTCACCACTTGCAGAATCTGAACCTTCTGCCTGGTTTGGTACTTGCAGCTCCTTGCCACTTCTTAGGGTGATAGCACTCACATTCTTTGGATTGGCCACGGTTTGGGAGGGAAGATTTCCAGATCCCTGTGATTTAAGTTCATTCATAGTTGTGGCTAACTGGCCAATTTGCGTTTGCAAATTTTGGATACTGACTTCTATTCTATGCTGGAACTGAACACTGTTATTTGCCATCTGCTTTACCAATTTGTTAGGCTTGGGTCTGCACTGCTGTTTTGTTGAGGGAATTGCCCTGGACTTGGACCTGCAAAATTTTGTCTGACGTATTGGTTAGGTTGCTGAGATGAGCTGGAATTACCATACCTTAAGTTTAGATGATCTCTCCAACCAGGATTGTATGTGTTGGAGAAAGGGTTTACCAGGAAAAATTCCAACAACTGTCTCATTAGTAGTCTCTCTCAATTCTGAACACTGATCTGTTGGATGGTTGGGGAGAGAGCAAATGCCACAAATAATGGTTGCTAGTGGCATGGTTTGCTGGGGCCGCTGCTGACCAAGAGCCATTTGCCTAACCAATGATGTCAACTCTTCAATTCGGTTCTCCATCCTTTGCTGGTTGGCATCAGAAGTTTGCACTTCATTTACTCCTCTAACTAAAAACATAGCTCGTGTACCAAATTGTTGTGCATTAGCAGCCATATTAGCAATCAAATCTCTGGCTGCAACAGGTGTTTTGTCTACTAATGCACCACAAGAAGCAGCATCAATCATGCTTCTGTCTATCAGAAAAAGTCCTTCGTAAAAATACTGGATTAGAAGCTGGTCACTTATCTGGTGATGTGGACAACTAGCACACAGCTTCTTGAATCTTTCCCAATACTCATGTAATGTCTCACCATTGATTTGTCTTATGCCACTAATGTCTTTTCTTATGGCAGCAACTCTTGAAGCAGGGAAGAATTTCTCTAGGAATTGCCTTTTCATGTCTAGCCAGCAGGTGATAGAGCCTGGATGTAGGTAGTATAGCCAATCTTTGGCAGAACCATCCAGTGAAAAAGGAAAGGCTCTCAGCTTGAAATTTAGGAAGCAAGTAGATTAATCCAGACTTTAGCTGAAAGTCTCCATTCAAAACAAGGTATTGGATGGCTAGAGCTTGATGGTTAACATCAGGTGCTGCAAGTTCCTTCAAGGTTCTATTAGCCATATTAGTAGTAATACGCTCGAAATCAGAATGCAAAGATTCAAAATGCACAAAAACATAATGATTAACACTACTAGTAGAACCTACACTGCTATCAATTTGAACCTCGATGAAGGAAAGCCTTTTATGTGTTTTACTTAAATGACAAAATGTCCTATCAATCTCAGGATTAAAAGGATGCAATTTGCCAAGGTTGGCTCTTGTCATGCAACATCAAACACATAAGAATGCTAGTCACAAATTTCCAAACACAATATGCTAACTGAGAAACAAGACCAACAAAAAAAATTTAAAATTAAAAAATATTATGGGACTACCACAGAAGTACTAGAAATTAAATTTCCTATTTTTATGAATTTTTCACTATTTTTAAAAATCGTAAAATATTAAAAAAATTGAAAAAGTGGTCTAAATGATTGAATTTTGGAAATTGAGGGGTTCACCACTCAGTTTAGTCCCTAAATTTTTTGGTATTAATCCTTGAATTTTTCTACTATGCCTGACCAAGTTTCAGCCCAATCTGAGTTAGTCCTTAGAAAAATTACCTTTTTACCCTTTTGCAGAAAAACACCTACCAGATGAAGGAATTGGTGAGAGCTCCTTTGGACAAGATTGATTAGTGTGATGAGTGCTATTTGGACACCAAAATTTAGCCTCAAACTCCAAAGTCAAATCAGACGTAAGTTTTCACCTTGAAGGCTTCAAGCAAAATAAGGTTGAAGCAAAGCACTGCAAAATAGACTAAACATAATACTAAACAGAATAAGGAAAGCACTCTAAATACGATTAAACACCTCAATGATCCCCGGCAACAGTGCCAATTTGGCACGGGGTTGTACACTTGTCAAAAATAAACCTAATTGCTATAGCACGAGGCAAGCAACCAGGAAAATTTCCCGAAGGATCACAGAGACAAATTAATCTATTTGGAGAGTATGTAGGACGGGGGTGGGGGGTGATATAGAATCAATAAAACAGAGTCAAAGTTGAAAGGATTAAATCAAGTGAAAAACACCTAATTCAAGAATCAAGAAAGAATAAGCAAACATTCAATCACGGAATCCCAAAATACATATTATTCAAATTCGGTGGTTAAAGACTAGATTCAACTGAGACCTCAAATTAAATCAAGCGATCACACGAAAACCTTCATGCATTTGATTAACACAAATTCAATTAAACTTAGAAACCTCAAAAAAACCTAATCGAACGTGTTAACTTTCTGAACCACTTAATTAACCTTAATTTTTGAAAATCAATTCATGCCCTTCAACCGAAACAAAACAATGAATTGAATTGCCTCTCAAAAATAAATCAACCGAAAACCTTCATGTTCATGATATTAATCGAAATAGAGAGAAACAAGAAAACAGGAAACCCGAATTTAAATATAAAATCTACAAACCGATTCTCATGAATGTTGCATTCCATTGATCGTTGAACTAGATAAACGAAACTAGTCCTCCATGGATGGAAGCTCATGAAAAGAACAATCTGTAAAAAAAGACAAGTCCCAAAAAAAAAAACGTCTTCAAAAAGAAAAACTCCCTATCTTTTATTCAAATCTGACTTTTCAAAATCTTCAATAACAAACCGTAACTTCCTCCTTCCAATTCGGCCAGGAAGCGTGTCTGTTATGATTTTTATTGACCTACCATTCAAGCCACGGATGTTAGCTTTCAAATGCCACTGGAATGAGTCGAATCGGACATTTGTGGGCCAAGATATGACCCAAACACTGCACTAAGGTCCAGAATCCGCGAATTGCATCTTCCAGCCCAGTTTTGGTCCAATTCTGTTTCTGGAGGCCATGATTCAGCCTTTAAACCCAATAATATAAAACTCAGCCAAAACAATACAATTAAGCATAATTCACAACTAATTAGGCCTATTACAAAGCTATCACAAGTGTATAAAAATTCATTGATCAGAGAGCCTGCAGAGGGCATTGGAAACTAAGTTAAGACTTAGTTCAACTTATCAACCACAGATCGACGGTTAGACAGAGAGGACCATCCAATCCTTGGAAGATTTATTGAGAGCTTGTGTGATCGAGCAACAGGGGACTTGGGAGGAATGTTTGCCATTGGTGGAGTTTACGTACAATAACAGTTATCACGCCAGCATTGAGATGGCATCATTTGAGGCCTTGTATGGACAGAGGTGAAAAACTCCATTGTGTTGGTATGAGATTGGGGAGGCTACTCTGTATGCGCTGGATATGATCTAGAAGCAGAATGAGCAGATCAAAATGATAAAAAAAAAAATGAAGGCTGCCCAAGATCGACAGAAGAGCTACTATGATAAAAGGAGGAAGCCTTTGAAGTTCCAAGTAGGTGACTATGTGTTTTTGAAGGTCTCACCTGTGACCGGAGTTGGGAGAGCTCTAAAATCTTGGAAGCTATCTCCTAAGTTCATTGGGCCATTCGAAGTGCTAAGTAGAATTGGTCCTGCAGCGTACCAAATAGCATTACCTCTGAATCTCTCAAACCTACATTCGGTGTTCCATGTGTCACAACTTAGGAAGTATGTGTTGGATCCTTCGCACATGATTGAACTTGACCCGGTTCAAGTGAGGGAAGATTTGTCTTATGATGTATACCTTGTAAGAATTGCAAACCACCGTATTAAGCAGTTGAGGGGCAAGGAAATCTCATTGGTGAAGGTAATTTGGAGTTCAAGTGATGATGCCACATGGAAAACAGATAGTAGAATAAGAGAATTATATCCCGACTTGTTTGTGTAATTGTAGTTTGGTTGAATTTTGGGGATGAAATTCCCTAAAGGAGGGGAGAGTTGTAACGCCCCAGATTTTTGTAATATATTTTGATATATTAATATAAGTATATATGTGGATTTTCATGTGTTTGTGTTTGATATATATATATATATATATATATATATATATATGTGATGATGTAGACTTGTATGAATGTGTGAATGCGAGTATGAGCATATGTATTGGTTTGTGGTGGAACTGGAATTGCTGTATATGATTAGAATTGGACTAAAAATAGGCTAAGTGTGAACTACAGAGGCATTTTCGCTGTAGTAAAGTGTCCTGAATGTAAGGGATGCGACTGTTGCATTCTCACTATAGCGAGAAGGCAACAGAGAGGGGTGCATTCTAGGTTACAGTCTCGCTATAGCAAGATTCTACAGAAACTAGAAGGCAGTTTAATCTGAGATTTTCTCTTTAGCGAGAGACAGTGTGGCTGTAACGAGAGTGTCGTGATCAAAGGGGTATTTAAAGGGTCTAGGGTTTAGGAAGCTCATTCCCACTCTTCTCTCTTCATTTCCCTTTCCATTCTCTCAACTTAAAACCCATTTTTACCGATTAAATTGCCTCTAAAGTCGTTTGGGAGTAAGATTGAAGGTTGGATTCACGTTTGGGGTGTTTGGAGGTAAGTTTCATGGTTAGGGTTTTGATTTCTTGTCCTCATTCTCTATTTTCTCTGTTTCCCTCGGTTCTCATGAGATTCTTCCATGTATTTGGAATGAAATTCGTGTGGAGAGCCTCTTCATTGTTGATTTCATGTGCGGGTCTTCAATCCTAGGTAAGGGGGGACTGTAACGCTCCTAATTTTGTAATATTAATTATTGTTATTTATATAAATCTAAATGCATATATGTGTGTACAAGTGTAAATGAATGTTATGGATTTACCTTGGATGCGTAATGATGGTGTTTTGTGTGTAATGAGTATGAATATATGTGTATATATATATATTGGGGATGTGTGTATGTATATACGTGTATGCATGAATGGATAGGGCTGAAATGGGCTAAGTGCCTAAGTGCAGGCCGTGATACTGGGCTATTCTCGCTGCAGCGAGAGGACTTTCGCTGTAGCGAGAGCGCCCTAGGAGAAAGGACTGAAACTGTCACCTTCTCGCTGTAGCAAGAAAGCAACAGTTTGGGGTGTATTTCTGGGTGCAATCTCGCTGTAGCGAGATTCTGCAGATACCAGAGTATAGTTTTCTCTGGTTTTTTTGCTATAGCGAGGGGGCGTCTCGCTGTAGCGAGAGTGTCGCGACCAGAAAAAAGATTTAAAGGGGGTTAGGGTTCAGGGAGAGTTATTTCTCCCTCTCCCTTCGAAATTCCTTTGATCCTCTCGTTTCCAAAGCCCTATTCAACCGATTATTGCCTCCAAAGCCGTTTGGGAGCTTGATTGAAGGTTGAATCCGTGTGGGGAACGCTTAAAGGTAAGTTTTAATGGTTAGGGTTTCGATTTTTCATCCCCTTTCTCTATTTTCGTGGTTCCCCTAGGTTCTCATAGAGTTTCTCCATGTGTTTAGGACGAAATCCCTGAAGGGGAACACTTCTTGGTGGATTTAGCGCGTGGGACATCAATCCAAGGTAAGGGGGCTCTATTCTACTCTTTTGTGCAATGAATTGTTGTTATTTTACTTAATATTGTGTTGTGGCTGAGTTAAGGGGTAGAAAATTGCTGAGAAATGTAATGTGGGCCATGTGTCGTGATATATGAACATTATATGTGTTGACACGAGCTTGATGGATGTGGATTGTATGTAAATGTTGCATGATGAATGAATATTGGCTATGTGCCGTGTGATGTGAAATGAATATGGGCCTAGTACCGTGTATTTGAATGCAAGGTGGGCTGTGTGTAAGCATGATCATTGCATGCATGAATGGAATATATGTGTGAATGGGCGTATTAGCGCCGTTGTGATGTGCTGTGAATGGTTCAGCAATACACTGGGGTGTCGAAGATGAGGACGGTAGGAATACCTTAGGGAGGAGAGAGTGGTGGTGATACCGACTGCGGAATGGGTGCACCACAGGCCACACACTCTCTTCCTGACTAGACCTCTGACCACTATCCTTGCTGAGCAACCATTCATGGTGTAAATTTGTGCTCACAGTACTATAGTGAGTGTGGCTGGTATGCGTATGCATGGATTTGTGTTTTGTACTTATGGATGTGAATTGCTGTCTGTGATTATGTTTGTTGAATGTATTGGGAAGGTTCTAGAGGTGAGACTCTATGTTGATTGTGTGTTTTGGATAGTGTAAAGTACTCACCCTTACATTCATTTTTCAGGTAATCAAGACGATCAGCACCGGACTCAGTGAAGGGATGGATGGACTGCTATAGGACAATTTTTATTTTAAAATTTGTTGTAACTAAACTAGTCTCGTAGCAGTCATTTGATATTACTTTGTAACCCTTCCCTTATTTT